AAATGTTGATATTATTACTAACAGTCATTTTCTGTAAGCAAATGCCATTTATTAGGTTTAGTGTATTCAAACTTGAGCAAAAACACCACTTACTTTCTCTCACTTTGAAGCAAGGGTGAACGCTTCAACAAAAAGTGAGGGAACCGAAACATCTATAAAGTAATTGCTACCGTTTGACCGAACTTTTAGGTCGTAAATTTCCTTTTTCCCAACATAAATTGCTTAATACCTGTTGTTGTGACAGAAAATTGGTACCATTAAGTGAAACATTTACCGACAAAATATGTTTGTATGAAAGAGTAACCATTTTTATTTGTTCATAGTCAAAATAAAAATATATTTGTAGATTTTTATAAAAACCTGATGAACGCATTTCTATCTTTACAACGAGTCTCTGTGGTTTGAAATAAACCAATACAATAAAGTGTGGGTTACCTATATCAGTGGTTCCCAACCACCGGTCCGCGAACCGGTACCAAAGAAACAAACTCATGGTTCTTATTGATTTAGCAATCTAATGAGTTAAAATGTTAAACCACGTCCGTCACTTAGCGGGCGGCAGTAAAATTATCAATCGTTGACCGGTCCTCGGCGATAAAAAGGTTGGGAGCACTGATCTATATCATTTATACAACCTATGTAATATATATTTTATTTTATAGAAGCAAATAAATATTTTGTTACTGTTCTATATAAATTGATTTAAGAATTAATCCTTTAATATTTTGATAATTTTATTTGATGAGATAAATCAACATTGTCTTTTTTTACCAATTTTTTTACCATTGTTAATTTGTTATTTATTAAATGGTACTATGTGAGGTATTACTGTATTTATTTATTATAATAAAAGTACATCAAAGCTATATATTAATGAAAAACATGTTTATTCAATTATTTCCATTAATTAAAAATAAATAAATTATCTTTTTCTATAAGTGGATTAAAGAGAAAGTTTATTTTGTGATTTTACCTTACAGAAGTAAAGGGTTAACGTTCGTCAAATATTATGGCACAGGTCATAAATCAACCGTCCTTTATCCCAAATAAAACAAAAATTAAAAATAATAAATCTCGTATGTTCCTGGGAATCGCTTTTGTTCGTGAACCTGTTTTTAATTCTTTCTTTGAGTTTTCTTCTTAAAGCTAATAGTATTTTGGAAAACATATTTCATATTGTATATATAATTAAACAAGATATTCCGTGAAAATTTCAGGATTTACGAAGTGTTCTGTTGAAGGAAAAGTTTTTCGGTACAAAGTTTGGGAACCGCTGGTTTTGATAATCAGTTCCTTCAATATGTTTCAAACCGACACGTTTTTTCAAACAGTCCGGAAATAGATAATAATTTTGTGTACTAACTTTTTAGAATTTATTTTTATTTCTTCAACTAGTCGTTAATATGTTTATCCATTTAAATAGAATAATACAGTGGAACCTCGCTTAACGAGTTTAATCCGTTCTAAAATTTCCGGAGTTTTTACTCGTATAGTGAAACATATTCAAAAATACACATAATATGTGTATACAAGTTTTGAAAAATAATGTAGCAGGGCCGGATTCCTTGTCTTCTCATCACCCGTTAAGCGAATAATTTTTCTTACAATTCAGCGAATTGCTCGTTATGCGAGGTTCCACTGTATATTACTTTGATTGCGGATATTTTTAATCTTTTTTTTTTATTTGGGATAAAGTTCGGTTGATTTATGACCTGTGCCATAATATTTGACGAACGTTAACCCTTTACTTCTGTAAGGTAAAATCACAAAAGAAAGTTTCTCTTTAATGCACTTATAGAAGAAGAAAAGATTTATTTTTAATTAATCGAAATAATTTAATAAACTTTTTTTTCATTAATTTATAGCTTTGTTTTACTTTTATGAATATAAGTAATACCTCGCATAGTGCGGGTAACCGGTTCTGTTTGGAAAACCTACTATTCGATGAATAGGACAATAATTCTGATAGCGCGGCTTCATTCAGTCCGGTTTCAAAATTTGAAAAGAAAGTAAATTTTTGGTAAGCAAATTAAAAATTTATTTACTCACCATTTTTTTTTACAGTACGGAGTACGGAATACGAAACAGACGCACTGTGCAAATTATTGCTGTAAACGAAAAAAAATTAATTTAGACTGCTTAGCGGAATTTAAACCATAATATTTTACTATTCGTTTTTATACAATAATTCTGATAACGCGGCTTTATTCAGTCGGCTTGAAAATTTCAAAAGATAGTACATATAAATTAAAAATAAATTAAAAAAAATATTACTCAAAATTATTTTTTTCTACATAAATGTATGTTTTTTGTTTCCATTAGACTCAACTATCTTTTTCTACGGTTTATTTTTGTTTGAATTTGGTTCCTTGATTAGCGTGATATTAAAGAGTATGTAATATTGACGAAACTGATTACCCGCACTGTGCGAGGTATTGCTGTAAATGAAAAAAGAAACAAAATTAATAATTACTTTTGCTTTATCAATTTTGTTACGTTCTTTGAACGAATTTCCATAAGCCCATGTAACAAATCGTTGCCATGGGAACTGAATGTGTCTTAATTAAGCAATTAATAGTAGTTTATGAACGTTGGCGTGTCTTGGGGTGCAGATCTCTTTGGCAAATAGCATTAACGAGATTTAAATTCGATTAGGGGATGCGATTTTTTTTTCACGTCTCGCAACTATTTTAATCCAGTGTTTAAAGAACGGATCTAAGTAGCTTTAGGAGTCAAGTAGCTTACGTGACCCAATTATCCTTTTGGCTCTCCAACTTGCTCTCCCATGTCCATACACATATCCATATTCACCGGTGGATTTTCTGGTAGCGTTTCCATGTTTTCCTATTAGTGAAAACGAAAATTGAAAAGGCGCATACTATCACGCCCAGAATAACAATTCATCAACAATGTACCAGAATGGGTAGGGTGGGACGTTGAAAATGAAATGGTTCTAGCGAAAGAGAAAAAAAGACAGGAAGCGAGAAATAATAATAGCGAAGAGAGAGATGGCTATGAAGGGTACCCACCCTAAAAGGCACCAACTATGGGCGCCGCTCTCGCTCGCACTCGTGGCATTCTGACCATTGGTTTATTGGGGGCCAGGGATGGGGGCTATACCTACACTAGTATAAAAATCAAGGGTACCTTTGGCATCATCGTCAGACACAGTTGTGTATTCGTACCGGTAAACATCTCCGCGTCTTCGAGCATTCAACTATCGAATCAGTACCGAGTACCTTCAGCGCTCGTAGTTTTTAAGTTTGCAAGTGTTGACAGTGAATATTTGTGTACCGTTGGATTAGGATATCTATCGCACAGAAAAGCGCGATCGTGAATAGTGCCCGTTTTACAACAGATTCGCTGGATTTTCGTAGTTAAGTTTGTTCTCAAATGGTCATGGCTGGACCAACATTACAACCACGTAAGTACAGCTAGTGTCTGTAACGCTAAAAATCGATATTCAATAACGCCGCACATCATTAATTGAAACTTTTTCAAAGTACAAAATAATTTTCAAAGCAAAACACTATTTGATTTTAAAGAAAAAAAATATAATTTCTATTCAATTCATTAATGTAACAAAGCTATCGATTGGAGACTTTTTGCCAATATAATTTAATTATATTTAAACTACTTATTTATCAATAATAATTTAACGTATACATTTTTTCGATTGAATTCAACTAAATAAAAAAACATCATTTTATTATTAATTAGAATCTCTCTACATTATATAACATTAAAAATCATGTTCAATTAATATAAAACAGTTAATTACTTCCGCAACTTAAATTCTCATATTTAATTTTAAACAATTTAATACTCGTTTTACTATCCGTAACCAAAATAGTAATCTATTTGTTTTTCATTGTGATTTCTTTAATCTATCAAATCTAATCTTTTTTACATTTTAAATTGCTACTATACATTATTCAACAATTAGATTTAATTTCCTCCTCTCGGAATTATAGTTATAACTTTAATCATAATTATTTTAGTTTAAAACAATATATTTATATAATATTAAAGAAATATCAGCATTTTAATATAAGTCTGAAAGTGTGAAATGCTTTGAATATAAATATTATCGTTGATAATCAAAATTAAATAATAATTTAATTTCCCGTTAACTTCACATTTTTGTTGGCCCTATTTGATCCAAATTCTCTCGAAAAAGTCTTTCCATCACAGAAATTAAATGAATATAAATTTATTTTAAACTAAAAGATTTATATTATGAAAAAAGGATATTCACCAATTGGTATGAAAAGTTCGTTAGTTGAATTACTGTTTTTGTGTAGTAAATATCATTGAAATACTAAAAAAACAAAAAGTAAACTGCTGCAAATGGATATTTTGTGCGTATTAAAATATTTATAAAAATGATAATATTTATTGAAACAATAAAATTACAAAATAAAAAAAAACTCAATACAATAATATAAATATCATAAATCAAAAAAGTCAAAGATATTCGCAAAACGGCCATAATAATGATGAGTTTATGATGAATGTGTACGATTGTAATGATCAAATACAAAACCGTCTTATCTCGGTAGGTTCTTGTTTACTTTCTATCCTTTAACCGACGAAATAACGACGTTCACGCACGGACGAGCTTTCCACGGAAACCAAATTTGTTGGCAAATGTTCGACCAATTTCTCGGTACGCCAAAACTTTTACATCTGCCTCACTCACTTTCTCTCTCTCTCTCTTTCTGCAATTTACTCTTCGGGGCAAGGATTAAAATCCCCTCGGAGCAAGGCAACGACCAACTTTTGTGTCCCCCCGTTAATCTCTCTTTTGTATTTTGAAATAAAAAGAGTGGTGAAAATAAAGGGAGATAGAGCGAAAGGAAAAAACGCGTTTCAGCCGGCCTAGGTAGACAACACTTTCTTATTTAGTAGATTTTTTTTGTTCAAAGATTTTTTTTGTTGTCGTTGGGATGTATTTTGCTGTGATTTAATTTTGTTGTTGAACGTTGTTTCAGTGTTTTGCCCGGACGACAAGGCGCCCGGAGCCGTGGACAACAGTCTCCTGATGGCTGGGTACGGTCTGAAGACGGGTCCGCATTTCCCGGGTCACCATAGTGTCATCCCTCCTATGGCGATGGCTCCCTTGGGTCCGTTTGGACTCACCCATATCGACCATGTTTCACCGTATCAGCAAGGTAAATAGCAAATACAGATACAAAACATATTAGAGTCCTCCGACGGTTTTCCGAAGCCGGAAAAGTCGAGCGGGCTGTCTTGTGTGTCTCTAGACGGAGAAAAAAAGCACCCTCTACGCAGGGGCTTCTCCTGGTGATAGCGACACGCGACGAACACCCGATACCTTTGACCCACTGAGGAGAAAACCGTCAGCGCCGCGAAAGAAAATCAATCGGGATTAATTGGATTTGAATTTCGCTGAAAGTCATTAACTAGATATTTCATTTCACCGGAGCATCATTTTCGATATAATCAAATTAGTTATTTCCTTGCTAAACGGATTAAAACAGATTAGCGTTTCAACGAAATGCATTGGAAAACTGCAGTACTTGAATTCAACGAAAAACTTTTCCTTTCTTCATTTGAATCAAGGACCAAAATGATTAAAATATAAGTAAAGGGAAATTGTTTTCGGGGATTGCATTTATTTCTGTTTGCAACTTGTCTTTTCCATTCCGACCGGTTAAAATAAGTAACGAGCGGGGAAATTCGGGACGGATTTTCGCCGCAATATTATTTATATAATTTTCCGTCAACTGTACACGCCGTCGTCGCGATAGGCCTCGTCATCGCTGTCGTCTACTCTTCGTCCTTATCTAATCCTGGGGGCGGTTGAGGCGGCGGCGGCAGCGCACTAAATGCGTGGGGAAAGGAGGCACGGTATACCCGGCTCCTCCACCTCCGCATCGCTGTTGAGCCGATTACCAGGGTGGCGGGTGGAAACCGTCGCCATGGATACCGGCACATACTGAAAATTGCTCGCGCTCAATCTCCGCGACAGGAATTCTTTTCTTGCAACGAAAATCGAAACTTCGCAGCGACAAAAAAAAAATTGATAATGTTACCAACGAGCGAACAAAAAATTTTTGAGGAGGGCGCAAAATTTCATCGTCCGTTTGTTTCATTTATAAATCGGAGGGTGGTCGATTGCACCAGGGGAAATGTTTAATTTAGTTTTCGGGTTGGCTGAGAAAATCGCAGCTGTCCTTGGATGGGGTGTCAAATTGAATCAGAGTAGGTTTTTTTGTTCACACTCATTCTCTCATTGGACCGCCATCCTACAAACATTTATTTCACACGTGCCAAAATAACACACCCCTCCAGAGTATTTCAATATTCACAGAGACAAAATGACTTGTTTTATTATTATTAGTTTTACCGACTAAACAACTTTTTCAATACTAACTATAGTATTGTAAAATCAGCATTTTCTAAGTTCTCAAAATAATATTACCAAAAATTTACTAAAGTAATGCAATTATTAATTGTTTACGATCATATCCTTTTGATAAGTAGTTACCATTTATATTTTGTATAATAATAACACTAGAATTGTAGTGTACATTTCCATTGATATGTGTGATTTTGGCTTTTTGATGCTGTTGGAATAACATCAGTCCCCCTTGAGGGAAACTTGTTATTTTTAATGATGATGCCGGGCTTCAATTAAAAATGCAACGAGATTCTGTGTACGTACATCAATACGTGTACACACAGTCGCGCGTCGGGTGAGTGCAAACAGCGATTCGGTGTAATGAAAATACAAGGGGGGGTGGAAAATAGATGCCAAGTGCGAAAATTCACACAAACATAAACAAACGGTCGTGCGTTGACTTTGGGGGAATGTAAATTACGCAACCGAAGGGGCGTTGGACTTTGTTATCTTTTTATCTTATTTTGGTTTGTTTTCACCAAACGGGAGAAGTGGTATAAGGACTTTGGGCATAATTCTTAGTTTGTACCTATTTTGCAGGTGTGAACCCGAGGAAGCAGCGCAGAGAGCGGACCACATTCTCGAGGGCGCAGCTCGATGTTCTGGAGACGCTTTTTGCGAAGACCCGTTACCCGGACATCTTCATGCGCGAAGAGGTGGCGTTGAAAATCAGCCTGCCCGAATCCAGAGTTCAGGTAAGAAATCGAAATACAAAAAAAAATGAAGAAGAATAAGAGAAATAAGGAGATGAAGAGAACAAAATCAATTCGCTTGCATCAATTTCATCGGAGTCGCCTCTTGATCAGAAAAAAAAAACGAAAATTGTCAGTCCCAGTAATGTTGCTTTTATGTGCGCGCCGCACAAAGAGACCCGAAGGCGGACTATTTTCATCCGGAACAACCCCCTAAATAATCCTCTGGGCTAATGGAAAAAACTACCGAGGGGTCTCGCCCCGTCTGCTGTCACTGTTACATGTTGTTACAGCATTGAATAAAATATACATTGCGGTCGTATACGAGGGTTGTTCCCAACTATCAAAAAGAAGGACGCGGTAGTTTTTTCCATTAGCCCAGAGGATTATTTAGGGGGTTGTTCCGGATGAAAATAGTCCGCCTTCGGGCCTCTTTGTGCGGCGCGCCCATAAAAGCAACATTACTGGGACTGACAATTTTCGTTTTTTTTTCTGATCGAGAGGCGACTCCGATGAAATTGATGCAAGCGAATTGATTTTGTTCTCTTCATCTCCTTATTTCTCTTATTCTTCTTCATTCGACTTGTATTTCGATTTCTTACCTGAACTCTGGATTCGGGCAGGCTGATTTTCAACGCCACCTCTTCGCGCATGAAGATGTCCGGGTAACGGGTCTTCGCAAAAAGCGTCTCCAGAACATCGAGCTGCGCCCTCGAGAATGTGGTCCGCTCTCTGCGCTGCTTCCTTGGGTTCACACCTGCAAAATAGGTACAAACTAAGAATTATGCCCAAAGTCCTTATACCACTTCTCCCGTTTGGTGAAAACAAACCAAAATAAGATAAAAAGATAAC